CAGGCCAAGTCCCAACTGGCTTTGTTAGAAAGCAAATGGATTCATTGAAGGACGCGAACAAACAGGCTGGCAGCACGGATGATCTCAGCTCAAGTGCAAACTAGATTTGCCAGGGAGTCCATTCATCGTTGTCTTCTAGGGTCTGTGTTGACACCGAGGTCAAGAATGGTGGTATTGCAGGCTCGGAGGCCTAGGAGACAGGCCCACCTCATTTCTAGGTGGAAACACTAGAGTGACAGATCAATGCCCTTCCTGTATTTCAGGCCAGATAACCACATGCAGGGCTGACACAGCTAATGCCCGGAAGCAGACAGGTAACGCTACACAGCTGGTGACCACAGCGCTCTTCCCAAACATTCTGACGTCGTTTCTAAACAAATCTGCTGCTCCAAGGCACCCACGCCATAGAGTAGACGAACTTTCTGTCCCTTTCTTGCTCTGCATGCAAGCACAAAACAACAGTGAGTTTTTCAGGTCCCATCTCACCCGTTACTGTCCGCTTGCTCTCTGTCACTGAATTATTCTTGCCAATGCATAAGATAACATTGCGCGGGCTAACCAAGAAAGTGAAGAAGGAACACTTCCACTCTAACAATGGATACATAGCAAAAGCGTATTTGGCTATTTTTTTCTGGCTTGTTTTCCTTAATTGCTTAGTTTTGCACCATAGAGGTACTAAGAGTTAAATCACTACGCAACGATTTCTGTGAAATAAGACATTAAAGTCACTTAAAGAGAAATGCTCCTTCCTTAAATACAATCTATCTTGTAGTCCACTTCATGATGACACGCAGGTGTTAAAAACTTCAGAAAACACAGACTGTTAGTTCAGGGGGAAGAAAAAAAAAAAACCAAAACCCAAAAATCAATACAGCTCTCCTGGGACAGCCCTTTGGAATTCGAAACTCTCTCTGATGCACTAATTGAGCAAGCACTGTCTCGGCAGACCGAAGCTTGGGGTATCTTCACAGCATGTTTATTACTTTTTCAAACAGAATTCTCCAGCTGGTTTTGAATAAAATTCTGGGGTAAACTTTTGCAACATAAAGACAGCCTACAGAGTTGCATGAGCAATTATCTGAACCCTTTGGAGCTAGCAGCCCCTATGCTTAGAACCTCCCATTTATTATTTTTTTCCTCCAAAATGCTACAACCACCCTTTTCCTCGCCACCACCTTCCCATCACACGCCAAGGAGGTAAAAACATGAATTGATCCCACAAACTCCGACCTCTGCAAGGCTGGAATGAATCTGCAAGGGGAACGATGGAACAAACGAAAGAGTTAACACTTCTGCTCACTCTTTTACCAGGCAGAATACGAGGTGGGCAACCATGCCCATGCCACCGTTCTCTCACATTTTTGGGGTGCTAGGGGAAGAGAGAGAGGGGAACAGGCAGCCTGTCAGAGGCTGAAGGGCGGGGCCCGGCAGACCGGCCGCTCTCCAGAAGCCCACGCTCCTGTAAGCATGAGCCTGAATGCAACGACCTGCGCGCAGGGTCCGCACGGGCACCGTGAGCAATCTCAGGCTATAGTAC